ACTCTAGTCTAAAGCGTTTTCTTCATCTCCACTTGTTTTTCTCTTTGTCTTCTGCATTTTCCAGTCCTGATCTTGTTGGGGGTCTTGACAATGTGATCATTGTGAACTTTTTCTGGAGTTGTTTCCTTGGCAGTGGTCTAAACTTGAGTATGCATCGACGAAAACGTCGATCTTTCCTAAGGGGGGGAGAGTGTCGCGAATGTGACTTTAGGTATTGAAAGTTACCTGTTAGTTAGTCCTTTCGGATATTCTTTCCTTACTGCCACAATGGCAGGAGACTGGTATTGCTAGACCCATTGTTAGTCTCTATTTAAGCTAGTTGAAAAACTGGTCTTCACATGTGCACTTGATCAAATGAGCATAAGGACAAAATTCCTGAGTGCTAGTAGTTAAGCATATTTAACCTGGTTAGAGAAACTCATTCGTTGACTTGCACCTGCTAGTTTAGGAACCCCCCCAATATTGAGATTGCTCCCTCAATATTTGCCAAATGATAGGTTATCATATTTGTTAAACATTCTCGCTATCATGCCCTTTGTGTTAGTCTTATTCTAATCCCAAATACTAATTATGGAAAGTGTCTAGATTTGCTCATTTGGCATATCTATGGAATGTAGAGATTGTCTTGAATACAATGGTGTTTGTCCCATGTCCAAATTCGCAATCTAGAGATATTCCATATTTAGTAGGGGGGGGGGGGAGTGGTGGTGGTTCCAAATGTATAGTAGGGATAGTGGGTAGGTTGGACATGGCCGACCAACTTGAGGTATAGTTTAGCTCTTGCTTGCATGTTTGTCCTTGTTCTGCATTTGGCTTGGGTGTAAACCCAAGTTCTATACCATGCTAGATGGTGGAGTACCCATATCCTCGTGTTAGGCCATCAGTACGCTGAAAATAGCACTAGACTTTGTTTGGCTTCATTTTGCATGTTGGTCCTGGCATTGGGATGCTAGATGCTCTAGAACTGTTCCAAGTCACTTCGTGCTTCTATGTTCTAGAACTGTTCCAAGTTGCTCCTTGGGCCATATACTCAGGAATTGTACTGTGGTCCAATTTCGTCACTCCTTGGCTCTATGTTTGGGAGTTTGGCACCATTCCTTTGTTCAGTGGCCTAAGGCTTTGAAACTTGGGTTCCGTGCCACTATCCTTTGGATATGTGGCATATGGAGGGTTTAGATTCTACTTCGTGATTATCCTATGGTAAATCACCATAAGACAAAGGTAGAAACCACATGCACTACAAACTTTAAACCAACTTCTCATAATTGATCTAACAGTTTACAAACATCATGGACATGTTCCTCTCATGTCCCCTTTGAGTGGATCAAGATATCATCAATAAGGTTAGTAGTCACCTCCAGTATATCGTAAAGAACTTCATCCATTATCTGCTAGAAAGTCGCTAAAGCATTATTCAAACCAAACAACATCACCAAAAACTCATATAAACCAAATAGTGTATGAAAAGTAGTCTTCAGAAAATATCTTCTTTCACCATCGGTACTTACTAGTACCCAAAAGCAAGATTTAACTTGGTGAGTTAACAACTTCTCCCCTGATGATCCAAAAGATCAACAATGTGAGGAAGAGGGTACACATTTGGGATCGTCACTTTGTTTAACAGATGATAGTTGATGCAAAAATAAATACTCTTATCAGACTTCATCACAAGATGAGGTTCACATGCCTAAGGACTCTGCGACTTTCGAATAACACCCCCAACATCTCCTTGACATTTACATGTAAAATCTTGATGTTTTTGGGTGACCGATGACAAACAAGAACCTTGATTGGATGAGCATCCCTAGTTGAAATGGATAATATGTGACAATTTTGGCCTTAGACAATAGGTCAAATTCAAAAAGATCAGCATACTTCTTCATAACCCAGTCAACCGCTACAACACAAAGACCGTCAAAGGGATCAGAAAAGGGAAGAGCAAAATAAAATGAAAACATAATAGGAAGTAATGCGGAGAGAAAAGTAATGAAAGTAGAGGTAGAAGTAAAGGGATGAAGAAGTATAAAAGTGAGAGGACTAAATAAATATAAAGAAGTATAAGACAAGGGGGAAAAGCCTCAAAATCACATTTGGCATGATTGCATTGCAATCAATCCATACTAAGGATGAGGTCAAAAGCTTCATTTGGCACCACCTGCAATGACTACAACTCAAGCTCGAAATCGCCCACATGCACAACTAAGTCCACCTTATCCCATGCAAATGTATTGTAAGCCACAAATTTTTCCTTTCCAATTTGCCAGCTTACCTCGTCTATCCGACCAACTCTGCCTTGGCTTGTGCTAAGTTCCCTCGCCAAGGTTCTTGCCTATGGTACCAGCTCCTACTTGGTCCTACTTGGTTTCAGCTACTCACTGCACGAGCAACGGAGTGTTAGCCATCCATCTACGGATTCCCAAATCTCTCCCAATCCCCCTCCCCGGGTTAGACTGGACTTAAGGTTCGGCTACACTCCCCGCAGGCACAAGCAGCCAAGCACACCAAGCCTCCAGATTCCTAACACCCCTTGGTACCACAAGACTTGATCATGGGACCCTTTAAATCCCAAGCCTTGGGTGCAGCACTTGCTTCGGGACGTCGGGGCGAAACACCGTGGCCTAACGGCCCGGTATGGGTACCTTTACCCCCCCTTTTCCATCCCGAAGGGAAGGCCCAAGCCCCCGGAAGGGCGAGGACCAATGAGCCACTAGGTACTCAAGTGGGGCACCACTCCACCTAAGCCGGGAGCACTGCAGTCGGTTTCCCTTTCGGGAGTGGGAGCTGCTCTTGAGCACTTCCTTGGATGGCCCCTTGGGCACCAGCCAAGTCCATGCTCACTCCCACCCAAGGCCCCTCGGTCCCAGTCTCAACCTCAAGTCGGTTTGGAAGCCCAACTAAAGAGTCCCTTCAAAACTGATTCCTGGACCTCACTATCCCTACTATACTTTTGGAACCCCCTGCAGCCCCCCCCCCCCCCTGGGAGACGCACGCTTTGGGCTTTCACCCCTTGACCCGTATTAGTATTTGGACTTAGTCTCTGGCTCGATCTCGGACCCAATTTCGGATCCGACTTCGGATTTGGTCTCGGACTCGATCTCGGACTCGATCTCGGACCCAATCTCGGACCCGACCTCGGACTCGACCTCGGACTCGGTCTCGGACCCGATTTCGGATCTCGGACTCCGTCTCGGACTCGAACTCGGTCCCCGAGTCGGTCTCGGACTCGATTCCGGACTCTATCTCGAACTCGGTCCTAGAGTCGGTCTTGGACTCGATCCTCGACTTGGTCCCATCCGATGAACTCTTTGTCATTTTGGTCAAGCTTTTGGGGATCCTTTAGCCTACGACATCTCGGGGAGTCGGTTCCTTACATGTATGTGTATAGCTGTTGCCATAAAAAATGAAAAAAGGCTCTACCGCACAACACAAATGTAAATGGCAACATATGGCAATAGGTTGTGCAATAAAAGATAAATTGGAATTTATATCAACCAACACAGAGAAAATAAAATGAGACCTTTTATTATAAAAACAAGTTTGAAAAGTAAACACTAGATGAACTGGTGCCAAGTGAACCCTATGATGATACTCCCAAGAGAAAAATGGAAGGGTTACTGACTTATTCACGCAAAGTCCCTCCATTACTCATATAACTCCTTATTTTTCAAATGCATCTTGGTGTCCAGACCTTCTACTATAATAGCATTAATAAAATGTTGTTGACGCCAAGGTCTCCACCCAGGAAATGGAGGCTGCCAATATGGAAAATGCCAACAACACTTATAAATATGACTAACTTCATCACACACTTAGCAACGAACATTATGGCCACAACCACATCCTTGCCTTTGTCCTTAAACTCGAGGAATAGCAGCACCAACCTCTATTGGAACAGAACCATTTCCCATAGGAAGTGGAGCTGAAGGATATACATCAAAAAGTGGAAGAGGTGACGTCTTATGACGTTGTGCCAGTGAAGGGCATTGTCAAGGGTGGCTTGAGCAAGTGCATGACAAATCCTACAAGATCTTAACAAAGTGTTAATCACAACATTCCTAGCTTGATTCGCTCTGATATATTTGGCTTTACACGAAGTAAAAGGCTTCGGAAATAAATGCCAAATTGCATCACCTACTTAAATGGCATTTAATGAAGATGATGCAATTGTTGGAAAGTATTATCACAATTGTCAACATGTCCAAATGCATATTTGAAGATGTCCAGGAAAATACTTCAATCTTCATGAGTGGCTATGCTCAAAATATTATACCACTACAGCACCGTCCCTTGGAGACATGTAAGAAATTCACATAAATGCCATGATATGTGGCAATCACCATGAAGTGATTAAACTAATGGTACACATCATCCCTAAGATTCCCATGAAAGAGCTCTGGCCGAACACAAGGATTAGCACCAAGTGTAGAAGAAGTTATACCATGTGTCGTGAATACTACTATCAACTTCATTTAATTATTTAATTGCAATTGCATAACATCGAGTAATTGCACCAATTGTTATTCCAAAGTCAAATGAGGAGAATATTGTTGCTTTGCCATGAACATGACTAAAAGGAGAAGAGCAAAAAAAAAGAAATGAAAAAAAACTAGAAGGAAAGGGAGACAATGGAAAAAGCTAAATCTAAATCAAAATTCTAAACGGAAAAAATAAAAGAAAAAAATTGGAAAAAACTAGATCTAAACAATGTAAAAGTTATATTTAAATCAAAATTTCAAATCCAACCACTCCTTAGGGACAATCAAAAGTGGTCCTCACCTTCACTAATGTAAATGCATGGAATATAGAAATGAATGTAGAAAATATACATATCAATTAACCTAAAAACTTTAATTTATATACAAAAGTAATTGATTTATATTGAAACTAATCTGACAACTACCAAATCCCACTACATTAATATTAATATACACCATACACTTGGACGTCATTGAGCTATTTAAAAATGCTATGAAATTAATGAAAAAAAAAAAACTTTTACATAAGCACAAAATAGTTGTGTTGTATTACTAAAATATCTTTAATAACTTTGTAAGAAAAATATGAGTATCGAAAACAAAGAGTGTACAAAGAGAAAACGCTGACCAAGTTTGGAGCTAATCGGTTAAGATGCAGCGTGTTGGAGATCCGTCTGAGCCAACCAGCCGAAGAGGGAGGCAGTGTAGCGTGTACATTCCAGTGTCCACATTGTCAAGGTTGAGTCCTTCCACAAGGATCACTCCCTGTTCATTAGTTCACGACTTACTCGAAGATATCCAAAATAAGAAAATAACAGTCCATTGTTCCTGACCTTCCTTAGAAGAGCCTTGTGACTTCTCGCTAGAGCTTCATAAACTGCAGCGGACAAGTAATCCACTCCTAACGAAACTTGTTTTAAGGATCCTTGGAGCAAAACTTGGAATGAAACATTACCAACTAGTTTGAGTTGAGTTTTCTCGGCTATATACTCGGCCCCTTCTCCTGTGATCGCCGTGTAGTCAGTCACAAACTCTGGATTCCACATGAGCCGCCTGTATGAAACAAGTTACCAATCGCCTGAAACTTGAGAGATTTTCACCTGTCCGTGTTTAAAGTTCTAAAGAGAACACGCTTTACACCTTGAGGAACTATGTCCTTGATCACACTCCCTGGTTTATACGTGAAAAGAATCAAACAAAGTAAAACATGGAACTTGAAAGTTGCAAAGCCAGACCTGATATATTTGTTTCTCTGGGAGCTTCCACAACCAGCACTGGCCCTGGGAGAAAGAACAAAAAAAAAAAAAAAAAAACCATCAGCGAAAGCTAGAAGCTCGATCGATCCACACTTAACCATTGAGAATGCCGAGATCCAAACCATTGCTCGTGTCCACCCCAGCAAGGAAGGCATCCTCCAAGAAGTGGCTGGGCGAATCGACGTGCGTCCCCGTGTGCACGCCCATCTTCTTAAGCTCGGAAGCATTGGCGATGGATCCATTGGCAATGCTCTCCACCTGATGGACGAGCTTCCCCAGGCCCCTGTGGAAGGAATCCCAAACCGGCAGCCCTTCCCTCAATGAATGCGTAATATCGATGATCCTCGCGTTCCTCGCGCCACTGCCGCTGGTGCTCATCGCCCAGCCGCACCATTGCTCGCTCTGGGCGATCGATTCGGCCCCAAGAACAAGAACAAGGGTTAGAACGATCGCGCAAAGCTCCATCGCGAACTAGAACTGTAGGAGGGAAATTAGTTTAAGGCACACAAAGCTCCACGTAGACACTGCTCGTCGCGAGATTCGATCAGACGACGTCAATAAACAGCAAAATTAGGGTTCTTGCACAATTAGGGCTTTTTTCACTCTCATGGCATCGTCACTTAGCGCATTGCGTCACTGGCGCGCGTTTGCTTCTCCCAGCTCCCGGATCTTCGATCGCCAAGGATCATCAGGTACTAGAGTTTTCTGGAATTCCAATGGCGCCCCGAAATTTATGTTGGAAATGCCGCAGTAGCTGCGAGTAATCTGTGGAGGCGCGGCTTTGCCACGGCGGGGACGATCCCAGAGTGCTCGGATCCGGCCATAAAAAAGGCATTGAAGCAGCTCTACGCGATCAACTGGTACGATATCGATGAGAAGACGGCCAACATTGTCGAGGAGACTTTGAGCACCGGCGAGGGTACCGCCGATCACACCATTCTCAAAGATACGTGGTCGTCCGCCCGTGCGGTGGAGACGTTTTATGGCACTCTGGACGCGCTGAGGAAGTCCATCGACGATTTAATGGGATTGTCTGGAGAGGTACGTTTCATTGTTTCTGGGGGGGAGTTCTTGGGCATGACTTTGGTTTTTGGTACTCTGTGAAGAACACTGGACCTCTTCCTGACCAACACCAGCGTGCTTTGGAAGCGGTACACTCCAAGTACGTGAAGTACCTGTCGTCCTTTGGAGAACACGAGCATTCCTTGAAGAAGAAAGTGGAGCTGGAGCTGGGAAGTACGCTCGTCCTCCTCAAACAAAGAGTCTCCGGGCTTCCACCGAAGTGGGGAGATGTAAGTTCGTGTTTTCTTCATTGGTTTCTTACGTTTAGATATGGAACTTTGTGTTTCGCAGGTTGGCTTGCTTGGTACTTCAGGACTTAGTGGCTCGTATATCGAACAGAGGGAATGACTTCTTCCGGTTAACAAGCAATAAAAAAGTCCGAGTGAGCGTATTCTCTTTCCATCTCTTGACAGATTTGAGTTCTCTGGATCTTCCAGCACACAGGATTCATGGTGTCATCCATTCGTTGCAACTCCCACGCAACTAACCAGACAAAAATACGTGTGCTCCAGACAGGATTTCTACACACTTTCATGGTGGTTCTCCAGAGGGACCACGGCTTTTTCGTCGGGCTACAAAAGCAAACTTTCTGCGAGGTAAGACTCCGTCCTAGTTTGTTTTGTGTCACGCTATTCGCACTGCGTTACAGGAAGGACGATCGACCCAACAGCATTGCTCGAGCGCTAGCGACGCGAATTTAAGCAGCGAGAGAAAAAAGTTTCATCTCTATCACTGCTCGAGAGATTCCTGGCTTCACCACCGCCCTCTACGTCCTTTAACCTTTTTTTTTCGTCTAAAGGTTTTAAGACTCGAGGTCTCGTTTTCACTGTGAGGCACCCTCGACCACCATAGCCTGGGATGTCGACTCGTCCATACGCTGACGTGGCGGGAACGGTAAAAAGTGAAGCTTTGGTAAAAACGAGGGGAACTCACACGCTATACGTATAGCAACGGATATAAATCTGTGTGTCAGTACCTTATGGTTGGGTGGATTGTGTGTGCTTGGGAAAATTTTGGAAACCATTCCAAAGTTTGCTATAAATCGTATTGATGTTGATGTTGGAAAATAAAAAATTCGTCGCGTAGGCATTGTAAAGAGCTTTGCTCTTTCATGTGTTGTGATGTTCTATACGCCGGGAAAGAGATGTCCAGTTCCAGTCGCTACAGGGCTCATACGCGTGATATACGCTTGGTAATACATCCCATGCCAGCCAATCTCCCCAGATGTTAAAGAAACGTTATATTGATAGGAAAATGGTCATGCATTAAATCACACAACATAGTTCATTTACATTTCACTGGCATTGATAAACGGTCTTGGATCGCCTCCGTCCGAGCTCCAGGCCATCGTGGCCGTCACCGCCGGCTGCCATCCTGTCCGTGCGATCGCACGGTGGAGGGTCCGCCACGTAGTCACGGCCCGGCCTCCTAGAATGACGTGAAGAACGCCCTCAAGGCGAAAGAGAGAGAAGAAATATTTCAAGAAAGTGTGGAATGGAGGAAGGATGAAGCTTCAATCCATTCGCGAGGGGTTTTGCGTCGATCGAGACGCCAGCGGCGCGCGCCATCGCCATGAGGAGGCGCGGTGGAATCTGCATGTCGATCGCCGGCACGGAGATTTCCTCCAGGTATGGACGCGATTCCTTGCTCGAAAATGTGACATTCTATGATCCTGACCAGCTCCTGCGCTGTTCTTGCCGATCGATCGGCAGTTCTTGCCAGCCGGCATTGGTGATCGGGCGTGGATTTCGATTCTAGCAGCGGTTGGGCACGGGATTATGCGGTGATGCGGGGCTCCAGGGCTCTTCCCGGTGATTCTTTGATCGACTGGCTCAATGGCGTCGCTCCAGCATTCTTTTTGCTCCTGGCGGCGGCGCCTCTCTTTCTTGGAATCGATATCGTGGCGGCACAGAGTAGCGATGGGGGCCTTGACAGCGATCTTTCGGCATTGCTGGATTTCAAGGCGGGTTTGATTGATCCAGGTGACAGGCTCAGCAGCTGGAATCCATCGAATGCCGGCGCTCCATGTCGATGGCGAGGGGTGAGTTGCTTCGCCGGGAGAGTCTGGGAGCTCCATCTTCCACGCATGTATCTCCAAGGATCGATCGCTGGTATGTGGTCTCTTACTCTGTTTTCCCAAATTCTTTTGAGTGATGAGTGCTTCCACTTTTTGCCTATGCACAGACTTGGGGAGGCTGGGATCCTTGGATACGTTGAGCCTTCATTCCAACGCCTTTAATGGGTCTATTCCAGATTCTCTATCCGCTGCTTCCAATCTCCGGGTCATTTATCTCCACAACAATGCCTTTGATGGCCAAATCCCAGCGAGTTTGGCTGCGCTGCAAAAACTCCAGGTTCTCAATCTCGCCAACAACAGGCTAACCGGAGGCATTCCTCGCGAACTCGGGAAGCTCACATCATTGAAGACGCTCGATCTGTCCATCAACTTTCTTTCAGCTGGCATTCCGTCAGAGGTATCCAACTGTTCCAGGCTGTTGTATATCAACCTCTCCAAGAACAGGCTTACAGGTTCCATACCACCATCTCTCGGGGAGCTTGGTCTGCTGCGCAAGGTTGCTCTGGGTGGAAACGAGCTGACAGGAATGATTCCATCCTCGCTGGGAAACTGCTCTCAGCTAGTGAGTCTGGATCTGGAGCACAATTTGCTGTCTGGGGCTATACCAGATCCTCTGTACCAGCTTCGTTTGCTCGAGAGACTGTTCCTGAGTACCAACATGCTGATCGGAGGCATCTCGCCTGCACTTGGCAACTTTTCGGTATTATCCCAGCTGTTTTTGCAAGACAACGCGCTTGGGGGTCCTATTCCTGCGTCCGTCGGCGCGCTCAAACAGCTCCAGGTGCTGAACTTGTCTGGAAACGCTTTGACCGGTAACATTCCTCCTCAAATAGCAGGGTGTACTACCCTTCAGGTTCTGGATGTACGGGTTAATGCTCTCAACGGTGAAATTCCCACAGAACTGGGTTCGCTGAGTCAGCTGGCCAATCTTACGCTCTCTTTCAACAATATCAGTGGAAGTATTCCACCGGAGCTGTTAAACTGCCGAAAGCTGCAAATTCTTAGACTGCAAGGCAACAAACTTTCTGGAAAGTTACCGGACTCGTGGAACTCTTTGACAGGGCTTCAGATACTAAATCTGAGAGGGAATAATCTTTCCGGTGAAATTCCAAGCTCTCTTCTCAACATTTTGTCGCTGAAGGTACTGGAAGTCATACTGACGCGAAGTATTCCATCTGACTTTTAATCTCGGTTTGCAGCGTCTGTCACTTTCTTACAACAGTCTCTCGGGAAATGTGCCACTCACCATCGGCAGGCTGCAAGAGCTACAAAGTTTGTCACTCTCGCACAACTCTCTGGAAAAAAGTATACCGCCCGAAATCGGCAACTGCAGCAACTTGGCGGTCTTGGAAGCGAGTTATAACAGGCTTGACGGGCCCCTCCCACCTGAGATAGGATATCTTTCTAAGCTTCAAAGATTGCAACTGCGGGACAACAAGCTCTCAGGAGAGATACCAGAAACGTTAATCGGCTGCAAGAATTTGACGTATTTGCATATTGGAAACAACAGGCTATCGGGAACTATTCCGGTTCTACTCGGTGGTTTAGAACAGATGCAGCAGATCCGTCTAGAAAACAACCATCTTACTGGCGGTATACCGGCAAGTTTCAGTGCTCTGGTAAATCTACAAGCGCTCGACGTCTCCGTCAACAGTCTTACAGGACCAGTTCCATCGTTCCTCGCCAACCTTGAAAATCTAAGGTCGCTGAACGTATCATACAACCATCTCCAGGGCGAGATTCCTCCAGCGTTAAGCAAGAAGTTTGGAGCCAGCTCCTTTCAAGGCAATGCACGTCTGTGTGGAAGACCTCTAGTGGTGCAGTGCTCGCGATCGACAAGAAAGAAACTCAGTGGGAAAGTTTTGATCGCGACAGTGCTGGGCGCCGTCGTGGTTGGCACGGTCTTGGTGGCAGGCGCTTGTTTCCTGCTTTACATACTGCTACTGAGAAAACACAGAGACAAGGACGAGAGAAAAGCAGACCCAGGAACAGGGACGCCTACCGGGAACCTTGTCATGTTCCACGACCCGATTCCCTACGCCAAAGTTGTCGAGGCGACGCGACAGTTCGACGAGGACAGCGTCCTGAGCAGGACGAGATTCGGCATTGTCTTCAAGGCCTGCCTGGAAGACGGCAGCGTCCTCTCGGTGAAGCGCCTCCCGGACGGCTCCATCGACGAACCGCAGTTCCGGGGCGAGGCGGAGCGGCTGGGGAGCCTCAAGCACAAGAACCTGCTCGTTCTTCGCGGCTACTACTACAGCGCGGACGTGAAGCTGCTCATCTACGACTACATGCCCAACGGGAACCTGGCGGTGCTGCTGCAGCAGGCCAGCAGCCAGGACGGGAGCATTCTCGACTGGCGGATGCGGCACCTGATCGCTCTCAACATCGCACGCGGCCTCCAGTTCCTCCACCACGCGTGCGACCCGCCGGTGGTGCACGGCGACGTCCGGCCTCACAACGTCCAGTTCGACGCCGACTTCGAGCCCCACATATCCGACTTTGGCGTCGAGAGGCTGGCGGTGACGCCCCCGGCGGACCCTTCAACGTCCTCGTCCTCCACTCCGGCCGGGGGATCGCTGGGCTACGTCTCGCCCGAGGCTGGCGCGACGGGGGTGGCCAGCAAAGAGTCGGACGTTTACGGGTTTGGGATCCTGCTGCTGGAGCTCCTGACGGGGCGGAAGCCCGCGACGTTCTCGGCCGAGGAGGACATCGTCAAGTGGGTCAAGCGGCAGCTGCAAGGGAGGCAGGCGGCGGAGATGTTTGATCCGGGACTGCTGGAGCTCTTCGACCAGGAGTCGTCCGAGTGGGAGGAGTTTTTACTGGCGGTGAAGGTAGCGCTGCTGTGCACGGCGCCGGATCCCAGCGACCGGCCCTCCATGACCGAGGTGGTGTTCATGCTCGAGGGATGCCGGGGCGGCGGCGGCGGCGGCGGCGGCGGCGCGGAGGTGGCGTCGTCGGACCTCACCTCGCCATTGTCAGCTGTTTAGAGAGACTGGTAAGAAGCTCTCGCGATCCATTTGGAAGATGACAAATCTTTCGCTTTGCAGTGACAAGTGTGGAGATCAACATTTTTTTCTTATGATCTTCATGATCAAAAGGTAGTATACTGTTTTAAATGTGATGCTTACCCACAAAGCTTTCGTTGTAGTTCGGGGGCTTCGATTACGAGACGATTGTTTGATCACCTGGTGGGAGGATTTCCCATATCCTTTTTATGCAAATAGCTATACAAAGGCACGGAGTGTGCTCTTCTCTCCTTCCCTGTAAGAACTGGTTAGAATGGCGAAAACTTCCACGAAAGTTTTACCTGTTTAGATGGCCAACGATCGAAATTCATTGGAAAAACGTTTTGCTGCTGCTGGGTGTTGATTGACGACTCTGGATATAAAAAGGTAGAAACGATCAAAAACGGAGGAAAGAATGTGTCATAGGTTCTCGCGTAGCCATCTCAAAGCACCCTGGGCAGCGGACCTGCGGAGAGAAATAAGCCGAGCTTTTTCTTTGCTTTGTTCTCGTTCTTTGCTTACCCAATGGCGCTCGTCACCTTGCCCAAAACTCCACCATCTTCTTCTTCGTCTTGTTGGCCTTGGCTTTGGCTCTGTGCATTCTCTCCGTTCACACCTGCACAGGTTTCCAAGCTTCTAAGCCACCGCAAAATAGCTGCTCGGTGTGACTTACGCGCTTTTCCTTTGATTGGACTTCGAGATTTTTGCTGCTTTTGCAGATTTGCCAACTCCTCGATCAGGCTCTTCTCCGATTCACTGCAATGAAAGAGCAACCAACATAAGAAACCATATAGCCAATATCGACAAACGATTCAGTCACCTTAACCGCTTTGGAATCACTATTTTGATTGTAAAGAAGTGATCCCCCCGCGCAGAAGGCCTGCTCAGGCGAGGAACTCCCATCTTTGAAAGCACGAGAACGTCACCTGGTTGTGTTCCAGGAGGTATTTGCAAGTCCATGGTCCCGCCTACAGTTTGTACCTATAAGCCCATCTTTTGACATCGATCCGACTGATATCATCACGACACTACCTTGATAGCAGTTCCCAAAATTGCGTCCGTGTAGTTAATCGAAACGGTCGAGTACAAATTCACCCCATCTCTCTGAATGCCAGGAACTTCCTTGACACTTAGATACAAATAGAGATCTCCCGGTGGTCCACTGCAAAACCGAAAACAAATTAGAAAAAAACGCGTCTGATAGGCAACAACATACCCTCTCAGTCCAGCATCGCCTTCTCCGCGAACTCTCAAAGTGCTGCCATTGTCCACACCAGCCGGTATAGTCACCTTCAAACTTTTTTTCAATCGTACTCGTCCCTCGCCACCGCATTTGCGGCAGTAATCTGCAATAACTTCCCCCTCTCCTCCGCAGGACGTGCACGTAGACACCTGAAAGATGGCTGTGTAAAAATCCCGAAGGACGTATAGAAACGCATACTCGAACCTGAGAAAACATGCCGAAAGGAGTTTCTTGAGTACGCATTACTTGGCCTCTCCCTCCGCAAGTAGGACAGACCCTTCGACTTGTGCTCGAGACGGCACCAGAGCCGCCACAAGCTCGACAGGATTCCAAGTGTGACGCCTCAAACTCCTTCTCTGCGCCGAAAATGGCCTCGGAGAACTCCAAAGTCATGTCGTAACTAGAAAACCAGACGAGGTCAATCAACTTACGAGACTCCTCACAAGCTTACCGAACGTCCTCACCCTGCACGGCAGTGCTTCTCCGCCTTGTTCCAGTTCCCATGCCTCCAAAGTTTCCCATGCCACCCATTCCAGCTCCAAAAAACGACTCCAGCAAGTCGAATGGATTGCTCTGTTAACAAGAAAGAGATCAAACAAGAGAAAGGAGGGAGAGAAACAAATCCCATACCGCATAAGCGCCAGCAGTAGATCCCATTCCAGGAGAGCCCTTGACTCCAGCCTCCCCGAATTGATCATACAAGCGCCTTTTATCATCATCGGATAACACCTACGTGAAAAATTCTACCACTCTTACTTTTTTTCTTTTTCGGATGAGGATGAGACGCATTTACCTCGTAAGCCGAGCTGATCTCCTTGAATTTCTCTTCTGCGCCTTTCTCCTTGTTGATATCTGGATGGAACTGCGGCAGATCATTGCCTCCAATCACAAAAATGCGGGACAGAACGAGCTGGCCTACCTTGCGAGCCAGCTTCCTATACGCGCTCTTGATTTCCTGCTTGCTCGCCCCCCTTTGGATGCCAAGAACTCCGTAGTAATCCCCCGCCGCACAGATCCGAAATCTCTTGCTCTGCCGCTGCTGCTGGAGACGAACTCTGCCACTCCACGTCGATTTGGCGCCGCAGAAGCTCACCGAGGCCGTCTTGTCCCATCGATGGAGCGGTGAATTGCAGGGCAGCGCTCCAGCCACCGGCGCCATGGCCATTCTCGAGCACAATCCTCACGACGCCATAGCTCAGCGTTGCAAAACCCTAGAAGGATATTCCATTACTGTTCAAGCGCATATGCTTTATTTGAACAGGTCCGGCGTTCGAATCCCCACAGCTGCCGGGAAAAAATATCTGGAGCAGCCTGTGCCACGTGACGTCTTGTGAGTGGGCCATTGGCAAGGTAGATCCAACCGCAGGTTCTAACGGTCTGATGCGTCCAAGGGTATAGGGCTTAGGGTTTTAGGGTCTGCATTTTCTTCGTCCAGTTTCGTCTATGCCGCGAGCGCCAGCGGCGTCGTCGTCCTCGTCCTAGAACTGGTAAGCGCTTTTGCTAGATTCGCCCTGTTTCGCCGTTTGATCGAGTGCGCGGTGCTGCAGCGAGTGATCGCCGCCGCTGTGGTGTGTTTTCTCGCTCACGCGCGCAATGTGGAAGGTCCGGAGAGCAGCGGCGTGTTCCTCATCGCTTCGCAAATGGTATTTCGAGCTTTTCTTGCTTGGTCTCGATTGTCTCGCTTGCTTTCTCGCGCTCCAGGTGCTTTACAGAGAAGAATGTGCCTCGGTGCTCACCGGGACTAGGGAGCTCGGATTCAAGAGCGGCATTTGCGAGACGGTGCTTCTCTCGAGCGCTGCTGCCTGGTGACGCGACCAGCTACGTGAAAACCAGCCGGGGTCTCTCTTTCTCGTATCGGGGCTTCGCCACCAGGCACGACAGCGCCTCCGACCTGTCCGAGAGCGACGAGTTTGAAGAGCCCGAATCGAGCAGCAGCCTAAAAGAGATCGAGGACGAGCCAGAGGAGACCAAGGAGGATGAAGACGAGGAAGAGGAGGAACACGAGGACGTGAACTCGCACGAGCCGGTTACCGTGAAGTCTGTGGAGAAATCGAAGTCTGAGAGGCGGCTTACGCTGGCTCACAGTGACAAGCTGGAGCAAGAGCTTCTCGCGAGGATCTTTGCTTGCAAGAAGGACGAGAGTATGTCCTCGGTGCTGGACAAGTGGAAGGAGGAAGGGAAAGATCTCACCGTGAGCATGATCGTGACGGTAATCAACAGGCTGAAGAACTCTAACCGGATGGCTCATGCCTTGGAGGTAAGAAAGAAAAGTTTCGGTTTCGTTCTTCTGTTTTTTAACTTCTCTTCTACTTTGCTAGATGATCGAGTGGGT